AGGAGAATTTTATGAAAAGAATTATGAATGTTTTATCAGCCAAGACTTTACAATCGTTTTATAAATAAAATGAATCCTTTTGTAGATCATATTCACTCATTTGCAAATACAATGAATCCTGTTGTAGATCATATTCACTATTTTGCTTACAAAGTTCCTTTTCCAGATCATATTCTATTTATGTAAATAAAATTAACTCTTTCACAAGCCTTGTTCACCGTTTTGCAAATAAAATTCACTGTTATTTTAATTTAATTTACTTTTGCGTAATTATTTCTAATAAAATTAATATTAAAATCGAAAATTGGATAACATTTATAAATAATTATTGAATATTGACAAAGATAGATTCTTTGTAATGATATACGTAGTGTTTTATAAATAAGTATATAATTTCATATCAATTTTAAAAAATGAACAACATTTTATCTTATGTGTAAAAAGATGAACGTGATTTGCGAAAAGATAATTAAAGCCTGTATAAGGGTTACTCCTACTTGCGAAAAAGACAAATATGGTCTGCAAAAGCATTTAAATAAGTGAATGTGGAAGGATTAATTTTTGCCGCGACATCTGTATCATAACTAGACGGCCGATTTTATAAATTATTAACAAAAATAACTAAAAGTTAAATAGAAAACTGCGAAGACATGAGAAAAATTTGAAAATACTTTTATATTATGTAGAACTTATTAAAGTTGGTTTCAAAAGGCTTACGTTTCTTACAATTAACATAAGTAATTTTGACTTCGCATAAATATCCGCAGTCTAATGATAACTAACATCAATCCTAGATTATAATATCACGGTCTGCTTGCAAAAGACATGAACTCCACCACAATCGCGTAATAAAATTCAACATTGAATTTTCCTACTTCGTAAAAAGGTGAAGGAAGACTGGAAGTACGTGGCGATGGTCCTAGACAGACTGTTCCTCTGGATCTTCACTCTGGCAGTCTTTGTTGGTACAGCTGGGATCATCCTGCAAGCTCCGACACTCTACGACGACAGGGTACCAATTGATAAAAAATTCAGTGATTTCGCAACCACCACAGTAGTGAACTGTCCGCCGCAATAGTCCATGCCTGAGCCCTGCACCGTGGAGAAAAACTAAGGACCAAGAACCGGAAGTAACGCACTACCAACCCGGAAACCCATCCTAGCCTTAGGACTTCCAGCGACTTCCAGCGACGTTCAATAACGAAATTACGGTAAAAGGGCTCCATTTTCTAAGACGATTGTAAAGTATACGACGTACACCAAGTACAGGACGCGAAGCAAACCAAGATGAAGGGAGATTCGATGGAAACATTTTCGAATTGCTTTCTTCACGTTAATGAACAATAATTATTCTTGACCATAATGTTGTATGTAAAGTGCTGTCAATAACACTCAGTCAAGAATGTTCGAAACTCCTGCTAACTTTCAATAACTTGCAGGTAGGAAACAATAATTAATTGACGAATGAGCGAAGTTTAATAGAAGTAGCGAATGCCAATTGAATTCATAAATCTTCAATATATGATATTACAACGGTTTTTTTAAGTATAGCTTCGAAGTAATGGTTTAATATACTTAATTTATCTAACAATATATTAATTCTAGAATATTTCTTAAACTTTATACAGAATAATTTATATCATTACATCTGATATTAATTGTAACAAACGCGTATTTATAATATCACATTTTCTAACTATGTTCTCTTTACTATGTTTCATTAATATTCGATAGTGACAATTGAAGGAAATGTTGCAAAAAAATCGTTAAATCATATTTCAGTAAATTCCTTCGGAATTGCAATCGACGAAGACTTTGTGCAAGTACATTAACTGTAAAATAATAACTACTTCATCGCGTACGAACAATAATCAGTACATTGGCAAAGTTGATTTCAGTTAGTAATTCAGACACGTTCGTCGTGAAAAGGGAAAGAAGCTCTCGGAATCTTCCTTCATTTCATCACCATCGACTCGAAACGAATGACTCGTGGTCATTGATTCCTGACTTAAATTCGAGTGTGTCGTCACGGTGAACAGCGAACGACACCATTTTGAAGAAACTTATACCTATATAGTCTGCTCAAGTAAATCGTAATATGAAGCTGCCACTACTTAATCGGGTTTAAAGCAACAAGTTAAGTAAAGGTAATAAATAATTTAGTTAAACCCTTGACTCTCACGTCGCAGATTGAGGTAAAGTAAAAAGTGTTAACTATTGTGAAAATCGATCGATCGACCAAGGGTTATAAACATTTACGAATAAAATTGTCGTACGGTCGCGTGTTTTATATAATACCGTTTATCCGACACGTTAAGAAAATAAATTATTCTTAGGCATCACGATTGTAGGTAGCTCGTTGTACGACACGAATTTAGTGTGTAACTTAATGTATAATCGATTAGCATTAATCATTTAGGAACGTACATAACCGTTTGTACGAATGTATCTTTAAGAAAGAGAGATCATGGATCATGAATGAATGTAACGAAATATCACTCGAAGTTCTCAATATTGTTTTGTAAGATACTATTAAGTACTTTTCAATTATTACACGTTCATCTCGCTAGAAATGTGTCTCGATTCATTAACTCTTAATGTCGCAAAATTCGTAATTGAGATATTCATGAAATATTATTAATCTTTGTATCACGAACTATCAAATCATACAACATCTTGCATATATTAGATACGTTTAAACAATTTTAATTTCTTAGATTCTTTATTTATTGATGCTTCTGTGATTCATATTGTGCATTGTTTCGAGCCAACTGAATCAAAATGCAAAACAACGGTTTCTTCTTAATTATACATAAATTCTTCACTAACTTTTGATCTCCTTGTTCGTAAAACTCAAATTGTTATTTATCTGGACTTTCAAAATGATGCAAAATTGTAATTTTCAAGTATTGGAAGTGTCCCATCTAAAAATGTGAAATGTTAACATTAACGATGTCCCAAATGAAACATAAATGAAATGCATTACTTTTAATTTCACAAAAAAATAGCCATCGATATATAATATTTCTACAAATTTTTACTGTTCATTATGAAGTGACCTCGCGTATGCTACCTTACGCTTAAGGGTTTCATTGTCATTTAATAATCGGCACCTGCTGGTCACGCTACCGAATATGCTGTTTTAGAAATATTTCTAACACGTTCTTTGTTCGGATCACACACCTCACAACGCTCTTTACCAATTATTTAAGAGTGACCGATGCTTTTCGAAGGTGATCGATGAAAGGCGTTGCGACAAGCGTGACCATGTAACACCAGTTATCGAAATCGTTCGGTGAGAATAATCATTTGTCCCTGCTGTTCGGTGCACGCGGCTTAAGGTTGAGTGAAGTTTCGTTACGGATAACATTAGTCTCGGTGAGAATGCTGTATTTTGTAACGAAAGAATCGAAACACGCGAGACATTACAATAATAATAACCAATAGTATGGTAAGAACAAGTAAAGCATACGAATTCTAAAGCTGATAGATGTAGCTGATTGAACAACCGATGACGTCGTTGTTCAATGCCGTAGTACGTGGTTAATGTTACTGTGGGTTTGTCATCGTTTTGTCTCTTCATTAGGTTCGACCGTTTCTTTGTCCAATCACGCGCCATGTATAAACATCCTACTATCGCAGTTAATGATCGTTAGTTGCGCATTGTCGTGCAAGCGGACTGATACTCGCGTCGGAGAATCCGCGATTCCTCAGCTTAAGCTATCGGACGACCATACTGGATCTACAGTAAGAGCCCCAACTCCTACACGTTTTTCTTCCCCTTCGACTGCTTAACATGCTCCAACCTATTTCCAATGAGGGAAATAGATGAGGCCGTGACATGCATGGTTGGTAGATCATATATGTGTACCTATAGACGCGGCTTCGGATAATTTCTCTGAAGAAAAAATAAATCATCTACGTGAGGTCACGCGTGGCCAAGATGTATAAGCTATGCTAGTATGTAAGTGCGTACTATCTATTCAGTTCCAAGAGGACATATGTAACAAAATTTCAATACGCAAAACAATTTTAATGCTCGATTTTAATATGTTGTTAATTTTTGCAAGATAAGTATCTAGATGTATACATATATTCTTTTTAAAGTATCCAAGTTAAATAGTTCTCATTGTAACATGTTTTGGAAACACATGGGGGAAAGAAGCTGTGTTGCCAGAGAATTGATGCCGCGCGGGGAATCTTCTTCCTCCCATCCCCCGTAAGCCTTTCCCCGTAAACGCCGACAAACTGAAGAGTAGCAAAGGGGATACGTAACAGCACTAGACCTAGTATCGTCAGGTGACAATGCGTAGGTCAGCTTTTTGGTCACGACGCATCCTCATCAATTCAGTGTTCTGAAATCCGAGAGTCTTCGATGCGAGTGGGGAAGAAAGTAGCTTTTGGATAATTGCGGAGCGAGGGTGCGATGAACGGGGAACCACACGCGCCATAAATTCCCTGGCAATACGGGAAAGAAGTCTTCATCTGGTTTCGCTGACCCAGAGTCGTGTGTGCAGGAATTGGCGCTAGTACCGTACAACTTTATGAAACGATGCTTGAGCATTTTCGGCGAATAGCACGGTCGAACGTTGGCGTCCAGTCGCGAATCTCGAATTCTTCGACGTCCATAGGCATGTTCATAGCTGAGAATCGTAGTTCGAACGCATCCAAGGTAAGATGCCTTACGTCACGTTGGATTTGTAAATACATTTGTAGGATGAACTGTATATCGGTATTACGTAAATACTGCCATTAGAGAGTGTTGTTAGCGTGAGAGATGTTTTTTGTATCGTTGTACTGGTGAAATCCTCGATTCTTCGTCAGCCAGTGACTGAAGCAATGATGGCTACGAGGGTTAATTGATAAACGATGACCGCGAACACTTCTGTTATAAACCGTGTGTACACGGTGATCGGCGGCGTTTCGACGCCAACGAAATTTTCATATTTCCACGACGACCACCAGTCGGTTACGCTACCTACAAGGCTTTTATTATACCGAACGCGCATGAAATATATACGCTACTTGTAGTACCTCGTCGTGGTGGAACAGTCACCTGCGGATCGTGCGATCGACAACAGTTTTATCATAAATAGGATTCGCCACTGGTGCGTCGTCCTAGGTTGTGCATCTCGAGTTTATACACTGGCTGGGCATCTCTGTTTATCAATTAATGCTGGTAACGAGTACAGTTTTCGACGTCGTTAGAATCTTCCAGATGCAATTGGCGGATAGGGTATGTATTGACCGGGAAGATGCGTTGTATGAATAATGTCGAGCGACCGAAGGATCGGTCTCCGGAGATGTAGTATTTGAACACGAGTAAACATATTCGCTACCTGATCGATAAATCGTCCAGAAAACGCCGAAATACGGTGAAGTGGAGCGGGGTCTGTTTCGTCGATCGTGGTTAGCCTGAAACCAGAACTCCCCCTTAGAGGAACGAACAAAATAAATAAGAAATTTACTTTGCACTAGAGTAATAGGGAAGAACGCACACAATTTTCTATGATAGAGTCGGTTACTACTTTACGTGTAACGTCGTAATTATTCGTTAGTGTGTTGAAAACAGCTGACACGCGGTGGCCAATGCCAGTGATACAACGGGGTAGCTAGCATCGAACTTGTTCCTCTTTCTAAGTGACTGAGTACGATAAAAGCGATCGGAATAATAACGGAATAAGAAATTCTGTTTAACTCATGACAAAATATATTTTCTAATCGGATACTATTAGATTTGTAATACTATTTACTTTCTGTTACTATATTATCCTGGATTGTTAATATTGCGATTCGAAAAGTAATTGTTCAACTGTCACACGTTCACAGTAACCTCTATCTTTGCTAATTAAGAATGTGAACATGATTTATAATCATAGCTAATTAATTAATTTATAATTACTTATTTGGTAACTAAAAATATGAATGAAAGCTTGCAATAGTCCTTTCTTATGCAGAAATGGAGAAACCAATTAAAAAGACTATTTGAGAGGGATCGATAATCAGCGAATTATTCGATACGCTATGTTAATATTGTTTCCTGTCCACATATACAGTAATATCGAATATTTCAATTATACTTGACCGAATCACTGGAATTAGTCACTGTGTGCCGGGTCGTTAGCTCGATGCTACAATAACGAACCTTAAAGTTTCACTTTGACAATAGTAGATTATTCCACCGATAGTCAGCTATTGTTACTTTGATATTTTAACAGTTGTTAATGAATCGCAGACGTTTAATTATTGTTAGGGATGGGCGATCGGGATACAAGTGACTGCTATTCCTGGCGAGGAAAGCTGATAATATTTGAAGCGAAGAGCAAGTGGTATCTAGTTAGGTAATAGCGACATAGAAGAAACTAACTAACCGTAAGGTGTAAATAATGTGTACATAGACAAACCGTAACGTAAGTCAGAGGCTATAAATTGGACTTTTTTTACCATTTCGAGAACCTGGGGTGTCCCAGGATATTGTTCAGGACACGATGATGGTCGGTAGCGAAAACATACTTGTAAGTTTTATTTATCAATGACAACGAACAAATCAAACTAATTTCTGTCCTTTTTGATTGTACAATTCCTATGAGTTCCATTCGATCGTTTATTTCGGATGATCTAACTTTCGATCGATTCGATTCGAGCATTCGTGTCGAAAATTCATAAAATTCATTCAGTTAGAACTTCTGGGTTCTGTATAAATGGTGTTCGTTTTCTTCTATCGAGTAACTCGCTTGGAGAGAGATCATTACTCGTCAAGTCATGTACTAATATAAAACATAATGTGCAAATGTCATAGTTCAGCGAATTGACTTTTGTGAGCTAGGGCTTCGAATGGTTTTGGAAATTTGGTAACAGTTTCACGTGAGCATTTGAATGACTGTAATAAACAATTGCGAATGTAACGCATTCGAGTTATGTTACTGCGTTGTCAGCCATTTTGTCTTCGCATGAACAAAATGCCAAATACAAGATCACAAATGTTTGTTTCTACATATATAGGGTGATGTATTTGAAGCGTTACTTAGATTGATTCATTTTTTCAATGGTAATAATTATTACTCAAATTTTCGAAGGCAACAGCCATTAATGGTTCATTTCATTCGTTGCCAATCACGATGATGTCTGTTATTCACAGATGTTTAAGAATTTATTAAATAATTGTTCAAAAATGACAATATTCTGATCGATCCAAAATCCATCAAATTATTTTGATTAATATAACGCAACAAATTCTATTGAAATTATTATTTAAATAGAAAATTATCAAGCTTTTCTTAGATACAGTTTTATTATTTTAAAAGAACTATTAATAAACTTCCGGTAAATAAAGTGTTAATCACCGCGGAAAATATTTCTACCTGACAGCTAGAATTGATACCAATAAAATATAAATCCTTGAAAATTCGAAATTGTATTTGAAGACATGATTCTTATCTAAATGGCTTATGATTAACTGCATTTTCCTAGTAAGCATACCCATCGATTATTGCAATATTAAATTTTTACGAGCGTATGATTTTCCCTGTACAACGTAGAATAAATTAATACTACTGAAAATGTTTATGCATTGAGTAGGAGATTCGGTGAAACAAAATATCAGAAATGTTTTAATGATATGCTTGTTTTGCTATTAATTTATGTTGGTTTAGTACTTAATGAAGAAGACAGACTTCTGTTCGATTTCAGCTTTTGTAAATTATTTTATGAAAGTGTGATTCTGCATAAACATTTGCAAGTTTATGATAATATGCTGTCATCGTCGGTTATAGTGGCCTTCGATTAGAGCTACTATCCGCAATAAAAAATTAGCATTACCTATTTTTATTATTCAAACAAGATATCTAGAACTTTAAGTTACAATTGAAGTATTCGTTTGCGATTTCAAATATTACCATTTATCCAAAAATATTAAATTGTAGAAACAGTATTCACGTTTATACGATGTCATTACGAAATTGCGATTAAATTATTTTATTTATTTAACACTTAAGTAGTAATTCGAATCTATTGAAGATCTGCAATTATAATTTGAGTTTGGATGCGAAAGGATGAATTTGACTTCGAAATGGATAGTTTAAAATACATTCGGATTTTCATTTCGCTTATATGAAATTTCAATTTGAAGTCAATAGTTTGGTC